CATAAAGAAAGAGAGTTAACACAATATTAATTATAAACATAAATGAGAAATGGAGTTAAACTGTTATTTTTTAATGCTCTTTTGGTTGTTTGTTAAGAATAAACAATTATAATAAAATTATACTATTAACTAAAAAAAAAGAAATTAATAAAAATAGAAATTAATTTATTCCTACAAATCTTCTTCCAATTTCTTTTTCTAATCAAACATTATCTTTAAATCATCTGTGAATTAATATATAAAAAGAATATAAATATTTTGATTATAACATTATGATAATGTATGTAATGTTTAATTTAAAGATGAATATTGAAAAATGGGAATAAAAGACAGTAATTTTTAAAAAGAATGAAAAAGGAAGTGATATAAAAATAGAAATTGAAACTCAGAAATAGAAACCTAGATGCAACCAATGAACAGCACTAATTTAAGTAACTCTTTTGTTATGAATAATGAAGATATTCAACATATGGTAATAATTGAGGAGTCAATTAACTCACACTTAAAGAAAGAATTAGAATTAATTAAAGCAAATATTAGTTATCTTGATATTATTCATTTATATTCAAGTTGTAATAAAACACAAGAACCAACAGTGATTGGATTTCCTTTTACAATTAAATTTAAAGAGTCTCAACAAAATCCCCATTTTTTTAATGCTCCATCTATTCCATATTTACCAACAACAGCAGAAAAACATTTAAAAGTATTAAACATCATTAAAAAACAGAATGATCTTATCAAAGAAATGAAAAGAATGACAGAACAATTCTATGAAGACAAAGGAATACAAGATGAAAAGAAGCCTAAGAAAAGAATAACACGAAAAGAGAAAAAAGAAATTATTATAAAACAGAATGATGATAGTGGTGATCAATCAAATACTATAGAAGATAAAATGTCATTTAATCAATTTCCTATTAATGATAATATTCTTCAAAAATCTCAAGAAGGGTCAAGTCATCATAAAAGTGATAATTTATTAAGTACAATAGAAGATTATGAAAGTATAGAAAGTAAAAAAGAAGATAAAAGTAAAGAAATAGAAGGAAGTGAAGAGAATGATAAAACTGAAAAAGAAGAAGGAGAATGGATGAATAAAGAAATTAACAAAAATCCAATTATACCAGAACAACCTAAAGAAAAAAAACATCAACGTAAAAGAAAATTAAGAAGTGCAGAAGAACGAAAACCTTCAATGAAATTTACAATGTTAGAACAAGAAAAAGAAGATTTAAAAAAGAAAATAGTTAAAGAAAAAAAAAGAGAAGAAACATCACGTAATAATGTAGTTTCTCAGTCTACTTCAATACAACCTCCATTAAGAATGGTACAAAAAAGTAATGAATCTAAAAAATCTTTATTAGAAGACCATTTAAGAATTATAAGTAAAATGATGCATTCTGATAAAAAAGATTCATCAAAAAATAAATCAAAAGATTCCTCTTTAAATACTCAAAAAACTTTAGAAGATAGATTAAAAGAATTACCAAAAAGAATGCCTAATCCAAAACAAGCTTATGGTGATTCTGGACTTATTAGTCAAATTACTAAATTTTGTACAAGTTCTGATACTACATCAAATGCAATTCGAGTTGGTGATCAAACACCAAGAAAATCAATTCCTAAAGCCCCTTTATTAAATTCTTTAAATACTAGTTCAATTGATGATGTTGTATCTCCAAATAAAGGAATTGATTTGGTTCATCCTCTTATAGAACAAAATAGTCTTCTCAAAAAACAAGAGGAACATCACTAAATCAAGTTCACCTTCTCTTTTACATTATTTTCACTTATGTTGTCTGTTCATTTTGTTAATTAAACAATTTATTATCTTTTTTTCTTTTTTAATAATTTATAAAAAATAATAATAATATTATTATATTTCTATATTTCTTAAAAAATCTCAACAAAAATTATTCACCCGGATAAAATGATCAATAATTACTTATTAAACAGGTTCAAATTCTATTAAGAAAAATTAAAAAAAAAACAAAAAAGAATAACGAAAAAAAATAAAAAAGGTTCACGAAAAAGCCATTTTGAGTTTTCTTTTTTTTTAAATTAACTTCATGAAAAGTTCAAGTAAAACAAACAGATACTACTGAATAATATAATAGAATAATAACTAAAATAAAAATCCCATATTTATTGATATATAATATATAATATTTGATTATTATTATATGAACTTGTAATAATATTGTTTTGTTATGAAATTATAATCATAGAGGAAAAAATATATTCGTTTGAAGAATGACATTTTTTCTAAACACAAAAAACATGATGTAGTCCATTTGACGCGGAAAAAAAAAGAAAATTCTCAAAATATGAAACCCCCCAAATACATGGTTGTCTTCATCTCATTAAAATTAAAACTACATTTCTTAGTTATGACTACCTCTAATCTTTCACCTGAAGAAATCAGACTTCTATTCATTAAAAAAGAAAGAGACATGATTATAATGGGCTTTAACTATCTTGATATTCTTGCTATTTACCACCCAAGGTATTATAATAATGGGTTTCTTCCTACTTGTCTTGATTTATTCTTCCAATCTCATCCAAAAATGCCAAACGTTCCTTTAAGTGCTGATTTATTTATCTCTTCTAAACAACCAATCCATGATAATGATTTGCCGTCCATTATTCCAAATACTACTATTCCTTCTGGAAATACTGAAAACGTTATTAACAAAACTACTCACAAAAATAAGGAGTCTATTATTAGAAACAGTGAAAATCAGGTACCAATTAATACTAATGATGCCCTTTCCTCTAGTCCCCAAAACGATGACCAGATGATTGTAGATGATGATGAGACATTAGAAGAAGACAACGAAGATGTTCGTGCATTGAGACAATTACTTGCACTAGAAAAGAAACAACAAGAAAAGAAAACGAAAAAGCCAAAAAGAACTGTTTCTTCTTCTGAAAAATCTAAGAAAACACTTTCTAAACAAAAAAGAGTTAGTGATTCAGAAGAAGTTTTATTTATACCTGATTCATATGTCCCTCAATCTAAAATACACACTAGAAGTTCTACAAGGCATAAAGCTTCTCAGAATATTTAATTAGCTTCAACAAGAACCTTAATAAAAAAAATCTAACTGTTTATTTAAATGAATCATTTTTTT